GCTTGTACTTTTGGGGAAGATAATTCCCTAATAAACTAAATTAAGGTCTCTCGGGTAGAAGTTCAGTTTCTCTCTTCATACGGCCACAGAGGGTACTATCTTTTGATTTAGTCCCTTAAGCAGCTTACTCTGCAATACCAACAAAACTCTATGTTTTAAATAGTCTTAAAAGTGCTTAAGGGAGTTCTGGTTCCTCTTTTTAGCCTGCACAGTTTAAGACCAATGGGAAAGGTAGGAAATAAGCATAAGGGCACTGGAAGAAGGAATGAGTCTGAATAATGTATAATGACTGTTCCCCCATACCAATTTTGTCATGGTGATTGTTCACTAATTTTACAGGAGAGTCTATTGAGATCTGCTACAACTTCTTGGATCTTTGAAGCACTGCTGAATGACATACACAAAGCAGAGCAGATGTCAGCACCTGATTAATCAGTGCTCTACTACTGGCTATATTCCCCAGGCAGGTCACTTAAATTATCTCCAAACAGCTTCCTCATCTGTAAAAAGGATACAAATCCCTTCCTCACAGAGAAGTTATGAGAATTAGAGGAGATTTGAAAATGCTCTGTCAATCATAAAATCATACAAAATTATTCCTTTGTAGAAATTTGAGGCTTAAATGTAATAACATGAAGGCCACACTAAGCGTCTGGCACATAAATACTTACTAACCTTGCCTTCTGTGTAATCTGCAGTTAGGAAATATAAACCAAAGACACCCTGGTCAGACTCACATCCATTTGGCTTTAAACAGAACTGTCCTTCTCTGCTCCTTTTCTCTTTTTTTTTTTTGGATTCATAATCTTTCATTGTATCTGAGGCTATCTTGAGCCTCTGGTTGAGATCTGGGTCACTAAGGCTTCTGGGGGATCATGTCTTCAACAAGCCTTCCAATGAATGTCCAAACAAAATATAATTTCCTTTTATTTATTTATTTTTTTTACCAAAGTTCTTATGAATTGGAAAATAATTTGTTTCAAAGATGGTGATGAAAGGAAAAAAAAAAATTTAACTTTCCAAAGGTAATGCTTTTATGAAGAGTTAGAATTTAGTATTTGGAATTCTGGTTAAGACTTCAACATTTTACCTTACTTAAAAGATTTGTTTTATGTAACATTTAATGCCCAGTTTTGCATGGCTCTAAAAATCTTTAACATGCAAAAGCTTTTCCAGTGACTGGAAGCCAACATGACAAGACTGAAATGGAATGACCTGTGAATTAGCCTGGTTTATAAAAAAATACCAGTTCAGAGAACATAAACAAAATAAAGAAACTAAGCAATCCTTACAATGGATTTAGCCTTGGGCAATTAACAGAAAAATTCACTCATAAAAGGATCCATTTTACAGATACCATTTTTTAAAATGTCAGGAACTGGCTTTATAAGAGTAAAAAAGTTAAAATTAATTACAACATCTTCCATAAAGAATATTATGGAAATAATTATATATGAAAAATGAGACAATAAAAGTCCATTTATAAAGTGCCTTAATGTACCAAAAAAAGGAGGTTAAATGTCCTTTATTTACAAATCATATTTAATCCCATTTACAGAAAGGCAAATATTACACGGGAGAGGCAGCATAATAGAGTATAAAGAACTCTATTCTGACTTTCAGTCAGAAGATCTGAATCTTTTTGGCTTTGCCACTAATTATCTCTGTGACTTTGAGCAAATGAGAGCTTTTCTGGGCTTCGGTTTTCTCATCTGTAAAATGAGAGGTAGAACTAGACTGCTTCTAAGGCCAGTCCTTGCTTAGATGTAAAATTCTGTGTTAAGCAATGTAAATATGGTTCTTAAATTTTGGCATTACATAACAGGGTTCTACCACATTAATGATCTCTGTAAAAACTGATTATTCCATAGTAGGTAGGTACAAACATTATAGAACTGTGATCAAACACATTTTGAGTTCATGATTTGGCTGCTGTACAAAGGTGCAAAAAAGTCATGGCATTTTGGTTACTGATATACATGTGTAGGTTTTCAGGAATGCTGACAAATTCCAAATATAAGGGAAATGACAGCACAAGAACACTGACCTACAAATAAACTAGATACTGTCCTTCACAAAGACGCATGGGGAGTTAGCAAACTGAGGAAGCTGTGGATATGTTAAGCCCTTCATCTTGAGGAATATAATCTGTGTTTAGAAAACCAAAGCTCGTGGCTGAGCACGGTGGCTCATGCCTGTAATCTCAGCACTTTGGGAGGCCGAGGCAGGAGGATGACCTGAGGTCACGAGTTTAAGACCAGCCTGGCCAACATGGTAAAACCCTGTCTCTGCTAAAAATACAAAAATTAGCCAGGCGTGGTGGTGGGTGCCTGTAATGCCAGTTACTCAGGGGGCTGAGACAGGAGAATCACTTGAACCCGGGAGGCGGAGGTTGCAGTGAGCTGAGATTGCGCCAATGCACTCCAGCCTGGGCAACAACAGTGAAATTCCATCTAAAACAAACAAACAAAAAAACCCCCAAAAACCAAAGCTAGTATAGCTATATTTCTGTTTGGGAAGGTTTACCAGGCAAGGTAAACTGTCCCTGAGCAATACAAATTTGTTGTCCAGAGAATATTTTGAATTTTAAAAATATTGGCAAAGTTATATTCAGATACGGGGTTTTTGTGTGTTTTTGTTTTTGTTTTTTTGGTAAGAGTTAGCCCAATATCAGGGACATTGTAAATTAATTTTATAATAATAATCAGGTAGTATTTCTCATTGGAATTATCAACTTTAGTAATACACATGTGCCAAGAACACTAATAAGACAAAATATTTCCTAAGAGTGACAAAAAAAGTTGCTTTTTCTCACTAATTTTTTACTGCTGCACACATAGGTATACTGGCATTTAATTAAAGCATAAATGTTAATGCTGACTTGCTAACTGATATGAGCTGGCAATATCATGTAACAAATGCAAATTCACATCACTCTAACACTATATAAACATACTCATGCATTTGTGTACTGATAGTACAAATAAAATGATTCATATTTTGACAAAAACTAAACTTGGAATGGAGAGCTCTGTGAAAGGCAGACTTGGGTATTCAAATATCTCCATATGTGAAATATCAGTAGTTATACATACTCAGTTTTTAAAGGCACACATCCAAAATCTCCCTTCATCTAGATCTGTCATTTTCTCTATCTAATATGCCAAAACCCACAAAATATCCCAGAGTTCTCTCAGACTTGGTGGTAGTTGCAAACTTCTAAATGACTACTTATATTTGTAGAAAAACCAGTACCATTATCAGGACACTTCCTTTTGAACTTTCCCTCTTAAAAGACCTCAACAGTTGTTTTAAGCACATACTACTGCAGTAAATCATAGCTTTCAAACCACCTGGCAGTAAGCAAACATGTTTAGAAGATACTACTTTGCCTGCAGAAAAGAGACTATTGATAGACTTCATGGCAATCTGCAGCAGTTTAGAAAAGAATGAAGAAAGTGGTCTAGTTCTCCTAACAGAGAGTAGTTTATAGATGTAGGTCAGAAATACGGGAAAAGACACTCTGAAACTTAGAATCAACAGGGATTTCTGCTTATTGATCTACATTCTTAATCATCATTTCCATCCTGCAGGGTTTTTTCTCCCACATTTACAATTTTTTTAAAGTTAAAAGGGAATACGTATGGTAAAATGAAGTATGATGGGAAAATCAGATCATTATCTATTCATAAAACACAGAGAATACTTAAGGAGAGTGTTCAAGCACTTATCTCAAATTGCAATTTTATTTTTCAGATATATAAGAACCTAGAAAATCAACTTAGTACTTACTTCCTAGATGCCTGTGTTAGGAAAAGTTCTACATCACCACATTTCCTCTGTACCTTTAATAATTCAAACTCAATAAAATGCTGCTTTAGGATTCCTGAAAGCAATTGTATTTGTGCAAAGCCTAAACAGGAAAACAAAGTGGATGACTTGGCATTTGAAGAATGAAAAAGCCAAACGGCACTGTCACAATCATTTCTGCCTTCAGTCTCCAATGCCTTTTTCTTTAATTATAAAATCCATAGAAATGGCAAGGAAAGATATAGGGAAGTTTATCACAGATACAGTAGCTTTTACAGAAATTTGAAATTCAGCAGATGTTTTAAGTCAAAATTTTCTGTATAACAGATGAATTTGCAAAGTTTTGAAAACACAGTCCATGAAGTAATTTAAAATGTGATAATTAAATTTGTTTTAAAAAGCAAATTAAGAGCTTTTATTTTCTGATAAGATAAAACAATCAAAGAAAAATGTTCATATATCCAAACCTATGCTGGAAGTACACAAAAAGACAATTTGTATACATTACTGGTGATAGTCTTGCTTTGTATAGATTACAGAATATCCATTAAAAAAAAAAAAAAAAAAAAAAAAAAAAACATAGCCGGGCATGGTGGCTCACGCCTGTAATCGCAGCACTTTGGGAGGCTGAGGCAGGCAGATCGCGAGGTCAAGAGATTGAGACCATCCTGGCCAACACGGTGAAACCTCGTCTCTACTAAAAATACAAAAATTATCTGAGTGTGGTGGCACATGTCCATAGTCCCAGCTACTCAGGAGGCTGAGGCAGGAGAATAGCTTAAACCCGGGAGGTGGAGGTTACAGTGAGCTGAGACCACGCCACTGCACTCCAGCCTGGCGACAGAGCGAGACTCCATCTCAAAAAATAAAAAATAAAAATAAACCATACATGACTTTTGATGGTACATTTCTATGCTGGCAAATACATTTTCGGATACAAAGGCACTTTGAAAACCCAATATGGTTTGGTTCGTAAGTTTGCAAGGTACAAACAATTTTACAAACATGATTATACTGAAGAACGTCAACAATTGTGACATTACTTATAGAACAGATTTCCAATTTCTTTCTTTTTTTTTTTTTAAAAAAAAAGTAATACTGGTTTTGTGGGAATGAAAGCAGTGGTTTCCAGCAGCTTCAGTGAAGACGTTCCAGAAGACTGGAGGCCCACAATCTGAAATTCCTACTGGCTGGGATGAGAGGATGATGGTGTGGGCATTCAACATGAAAACAAACAAACAAAAACCAAACACAAAAAAAGAAAGAAAAAGGACAAATCAACACCCTAAACCAAAAACCTCAGAAGTCAAAAAGATTTGGAGGAAAGAGCACAAAAGAAAAGACCAAAAGTCCAGGAGATATCCTCTTAAATCTGATCGCTTAGCTGTGAACTCCCCACAGAGCGTAAACGGCTGACTCTACCCAGTCTACTTAGTGCTCGGGAGTTGTAGTGATAATTTCTCTCTTTTAAAAAGCTGGGTACAATGTTTTGGATCGTACAGTACCAGAAAAATTTGGTCCATAAAAGGTGCATAATTTCTTTCCATTCACTACATGGCTGCAAAGTCAATCTGTACATAGAGCTGCCTCACTCCAGCCTGAAAAGTAAAAAAAAAAAAAAAAAAAGTTAGAAAATCAAACAAGCTAATAACACCCTACACATTTCAGGAAAGTAGTTCTTTTCTTTTACAAATCTCGCTTTGAAAAAAAAAGAAATTATTATTTCAGAAACAAATATATTCATAAGCTACAAAAAAGAATCTCCATTTACCACTACAAAACAACAACTACAACAACAAAAGAGCCATGTTAACAGTCACACACCCTATCCAGATATCCAGGTGATACTTAGAAAAATGCAGTTCTCTTTCTACAATTACAGAGTAATTACAGAGTAATTACAGAGAATTGTAATTCCCTTTCTACAATGCTTGACTGGTTGGCTCCTAGCTGAAATTCATACATCAACCCTGTCTAAATCCTCCTATGATAAATGATTAGTAAACAATCTAGCAAGTATAACTATCTATTGGAATTATTTTGCACTCCAAGTCCTCTCTTCTGTTTTGGATACGAACTTGCTACTCAAGGATACTGCTCTCTAAATTCTCCCCAATATCTTCTGTATTATCAATTTACTCCCTCTCAACTGGATCACTTCTATTAGCATACAAACACACTGTAGCTGTTTCTAGCTTTGAAAAAAACCTCATGAGAAATTATCTTTTGGGTACAATGTACACTATTCAGGTGACAGTTGCACTAAAAGCCCAAACTTCACTATTATGCATATATCCTAGTAACAAAACTGCACCTGTACCCCCTAAAGCTATTTAAAACAAAAACAAAAACAAAACAAAATCAAAAAACCCCTTTACTTAGCCCTACGTCTCCTTTTGGGCTCCCAATCTCCACTCTTCTTTACAGAAAAAGCCTCAAAAGAGTTATCCATATTTGCTGTCTACAATCCTTTTTCTCACTTCTCTCTTGAACTCATTTCAACCAATCTTTTGCTTCCCAACACTTCCCCAAAACTGTTTGTCCAGGTCACGTCCACATTGCTCACATTAATACCAATTCTCAGGCCTCTTCCTACCTCACCTATCAGTGAGAATACAGATGGTCACTCCCGCCTACTAAACATATATATATGTATATTTTCCCTTTTGGCTTCCAGAGAATATTCACTGCCTGCCCTTTCACCTCACTTATCAGTCTTTCTCAGTCTCCTTTGCTAGTTCTTCCTTCTCTCTGAAAATTGAAATCCCCAAAGGCTAAAGAAAAAAAAAAAAGCTTGGTACAAGAGCTAGTAAATACCTCAGCACTCACTCCCAATACACTTACCACCTTGTGATGTATTATACAACTTATTCAAGGTGTTTATTGTTTATTGACCTCTCACTATAATATAATCTCTCCGAGATAAAGGATTTGGTCTTCTTTTTTACACTGCTGACTCCTAGAACCTCAAGTGGGAGCCAGCACACAGTAAGTGATCAATAAGTATTTGTTGAATTAACTGAAATTCCACTAATTTCCTTCTTTCAACCCAAAATGATCTATTTTTAATTAAAGGAACCCGTCAGTCACAATAAGCCCTTTTTTCTCAGTACCACAGAATAAAAGGTAAATTGGAATATTTAATAGGAAAAAACCAGAGTGGGGAAAAAATCTATTAGCATTACCTTTTCACAGTAATTTCTGGACTCCTCAAAGCACTGTTTTCTAGCTTGACTTTTTTCTAGAATTCAGGTAGGAGGGCACTGTACAATACTAAGTGCTTGAAAGGATTCAGGAACTACTCAAATGGATAAAAGGCTTGACAGGCTCTAGAAGCTTGCCAGCAAAAGAAACATATTTTAATTTTGCTGGTGCTTCTCCTTTTTTTTTCTTTTTCTTTTTTTTTAAATAAAAGGCCTTCCTGTGGAAAGGTAAAGTTGTTACTCAAATTTAAGAAAAATATATTTAATAGTATCTGCTCCTCAGTTAAGATGATGTGGCAGAAAAAAGACAGAATTTAGTATCTATATGTTCTTGAGTTACAAATTAAAATCAAACTTCATTTTTTCTCATTTTAAAAGCGTTGATAAACACCAACCCTACTAATCTCACACAATTGTTACGTATTCATCCAATATTTGACAGATATTCAATAAATCCTTGCTATATACCAGGCATTTATAAAAGGCTATTACAAATTATTATGATTGATTACAATTATATGATCTGACATTATCCAGATGACACCTGAAATGACTGTACTTAGAAACTCTTTAAAAATTCTTATATATCAAACCATAAGAGGAAACAAATATTGTTCAAATAAATTGTCTTAATTTATTTTATTTTTCAACAACATTGTTAGGTAAAGTAAAACGGGCAAAATAAGTTGGGCTCTTTTTATTGTCTCTGTCATTTTCCTTACTCCTAGCCCTAACACAGAGAATATGGTAATAAAAAATGAAGTAGCCCAAGGCAGTCAAAAAGAAAGGAAAAACAAAGAGGCTAGATAAATTATCTTTGCATAATCATGAGTTAATTACTCAAGCTGATAACCTTCCCCTAAGGGCTTACAGCTTTCCATAAAAGCTCAGTCTAACAGGAAAAAAAAAAAAAAAAAAAAGTCATTTTGCTTTATTCATCTGGCCTGATGAGGACAGCTTCAAGTTTTACAGATTCTCATTTTCCTCTTCCAGTTTCCTTCAAAGTAAAGAGAAAAGTGGAAGAATCCTATGGTAAGTCACCTACTCCCTGAATGCAAACTAAGTTTTCTGTAGTTTGTTCACATCACAAAGACATGACAGACACTCCAACAGATGAAAACACTGCTCAGGTCCATCATAAATTCTACCCCTAGAATGGGACCAGGAGCCAGAGGCTGGCTGACAGGTCCTTAAAATGTGAAAACCACATAGTACTCATTGCATATCCTGAGAATAATGTACAAACTATACTCCAGTCAATATTTTTATAAATTGGAAAGGCACCTAGTTATTTTGAACACTTTTATGCTCCTAAGAAAATAAATGTTAACCTGGTGCCATAGGCTTAGAATATTTTCAATACATATTTATTGTTGTAGAAAGGATAACAAATCAGAAGTAAAAAATTTAGAGAAATAAACAGGAATATGACTACAGAAAATTATTTCGACTGAACATATATTCATCTTTATCCCTTTAAAATGAAGTCTTGACAAATTGCCTTACTCTTCCTTGTGAAACCTAAATCATTTCAGAGTTAGCAAAATAATGAGTAACTGTGACTAAATTACAAGTCAATAACAGTAACTTGAGTGTGGGTTTCTTTTTCTGTAAATTGTCTTTTGAGGCTCATTTAATATGTTAGGTACTGATCATAGTACTTGGCACATGATGAGCTGTCAATAAATGCTAGCTGCTGATGCTGTTATTATTTCCACCTCTGTTCATCAACCAGTGAACACTTAAATCATGTGGATTACTTAAAAACAATAAACTTAGGGATCTGTTGGTCTCACAACCTGTGGCTGTTCTCTCCAACTTCCAAAGAAGGTCAGATTCTGGTGGACTTCAAGTACAAATGATGAAGAAAGATAATGGGAAGATGGATAAGGAAAAACTGCAGAGCAGGCAACCAAAATCAATACTTAGGAAACATTAAAGCCCTTGACCAAAAGTTTAAAAGAAAAAAAAAAAAGAAAAGGAAAAGTGGAAAAATAGTAATCCACCTTCTCCTACTTCCTACCCCCTCCCTCAAGCAGACAGAGCAAGGTTAGATGAGCCACAGGAAGGGATTATGATCCTAGGAGAGTTAACGGAGGCAGAAAGTTTCTGAAACTTGGGGCACTCTTATTTGGGCTTGTGAGGAGGCTTTTTGGTTCCTTCCTGAGTATCAGTGTTAACTTCTATTTTGAGGACAGAGAATAGAGCACAAAAAGCTGAAGCAGGAAGTTGGGGGCTTAGGACTTATTAGGCACAAGGGAGAAAGGCAGAAGAGTAGAAAAGACGGAAGAAATAAAGGTAGAAGTTCTATCAAGGAATAAATATGTATTAGGCGAGACCGTCTTTTGTGTTTTGTGGAACTGAGAATGGTAATAAACCCCAAGCATATTCTAGACTTTTCTTCAAACATATTTCTAGATGTTTCTTTAATACGTTTCCTTCAAGCATTATTTCTAACAAAAAATATGTTAAATTTTTAGGATTACAGTTATGATTGTGAAGTGTGTTATTTTAAAAAATTAACAAATACTATTGGCCAGTTTAAAACATAAGATGTTAATTGCCTTCCTAATCTAGTATCCCATTTTCTTTTCCCGTTTGTACATGAAACACAAAACATAAACTTTCCATTTTATCAATTCCCAAATGATAACTTATTAAAAAGAATTGGTGCAAGGGGAAGAAAAGGGAGAGGACTTTTTCTATGCCAGCACAAAACCTGGTACTTTACAAACTGTATTGTCACTTAATCCCAAAGCAATCTAAGTACTAAGTGGCTTTTAGCAATGCACTTGCATTAGTTTATATTCACGTACAGCAAGCCAACTTCTTTAGCAGTTAAAGATTAATTGGTAACTCTGAAAAACAAAATTAAAAAAGCTAATGCCTAAGATATAGTCACAAAGCTATAGTTTTATTAACAAAATAGAAAGTTATAATTCTTCGACTTTTAGATATTTTTAACCAAAAACTATCACTTACATTCTAATTTAAGACTGGCTATAAGAAAGATACCTAAAAATGTAATAAACAAAAAGCTATAAATTATTGAAAAAATCCTTCTTTTGGTCTTTTGGAACTAAGGCCACCAGTATTTTAAATCTGTCTATAAGAAATACACCTGAAGCATCTGTGTGATCAAAAAGGGAGCAATTTGAGTTTTGTTATTTTTGATAAGTAAAATTTACAAGATATAATTTAAGATTAATTTTTTTTAATTTAAATTTCATCTCATAAAATAAAAATGCTCCTGCAAGCCTTGGCATATACTAATTGCATAAGGATCATGCATTACTAGGGTATACACAGAAAAGGAAAATAAATTCATGAAAATTTCAATTTGCATACGTCAGAACTAAAGCAGTGATCATAAAACAATTTTAAAATCATTAGGTGACAAAAAGGCTTAAAATACTTTTTCAGGGCTTAAAATATTCAAAGCTCAAATGCAGTTTCCAAAACCAAAGAAGCAGTTGAATAAACTTTCAATTTCAGTCATTTTTAAAGCCAACATTTCTAAAGTTACCAGAAGAACCTCCTTCCACTTACTTGAATGGCAACTTCAGCAGTTCCTAAGCCCCGACACAGCTGCTTGCACATTTCTAAAACTAGAAATTGCATTCCTTTTTAGAGGACAAATTGTGAGTAAGTGCCAAAGTCCTAGGAGAGTATGGGGTGTCCTAGGGCTCAACAGAAGCTCACACTATGAGGGTGAAATGACATGGCATATCTAGGAGAAAATTCAAGGTAAAGGAGAGAAAAATAATCTGGAAACATCAGTGAAAAGAAACATTACTGCTAGCCTGGTTATCTTGTTGTCCTGGAAACATGTAGAAGGTATAAGAAGGATTCAGACACATTGTGAAGGTCTTGCATGCTTCATTATGAAGGTCATGAGATAGACTTACAGTGTCTGTTAAGAAAGACACCTAGTTGTTAAAATTCTGAAATAAGTGGTATCAGCATATTGTTTTGTAGTAGTGTATGTCTTGATTACACATAAGATTAGCACTGAAGTAAATCCTAATTATACATAAGATTATTTCATTAATTTATTCCCAAAGGGACCTAATGACACATTTCTCTTTATCAGAAAGATATATTTTAGATCTCATTAAGATCTTTTTGAGCTTGTGGTTAAAAAAGACCAATGGGAACCCAATAATATTTTTCCATACTTAGCATATATAAAGATGGCTTTAATCAAATACAGTCTTTAAAATCTGTTTATACAACAAATTCATTATACACATATACTCTTCTAAGCACTGGGAATGCAAAATCATGACAGCTGGTAGGAACCTGCACACAAGTTGTACAATGTGATATGTATGACATAGAATAAAGTAATTCTGCTTTGTGGGACACTTAAGGCTTCAGAGAGAAAGTAACAATTGCATTGGATCTTCAAGTTAGAGTAGGATTTTTGTCCCACACAGAAAAGTACACAGTCTAGTGGGTTTGGAGTATAAAGTACACGGCAATGTAAAGCAGGAGAGAGACTTTAAAAGTCAGTTGGTTCACGCTAGAAAGTCTGGGCTTTATCTGGATGGCAATGAGGTGCCACCAAAGTTTCTATTTTTCTTTTTATTTTGGAAAAAAACTTTTTTTTTTTTGAGACAGAGTCTCGCTCTGTCACCCAGGCTGGGATGCAATGGCGTGCTCTCAGCTCACTGCAACGTCTGCCTCCTAGGTTCAAGCGATTCTCCTGCCTCAACCTCCCGAGTGGCTGGGATTACAGGCAGGCACCACCATACCCGGCTAATTTTTGTATTTTTAGTAGACATGGGGTTTCACTATTTTGGTGAGGCTGATCTTGAACTCCTGACCTCAGGTGATCTGCCCGCCTTGGCCTCCCAAAGCGTTGCGATTACAGGTGTGAGCCACCATGCCTAGCCTAGTTTGAAAAAATTTAAAGTCAAAATAATAGTACAATAAATACCTGTGAACCCTTCAGCTATATTTACCAATTGTTAATATTTTGCCAGTTTGCTTCATCTCTACATATATATTTATATGCAATTTTTTAATTTTACCAAAACATTTGAAAATTAAACATCTGGATATTTTGCCATTAAATCCTTCAACATGTATCTCCTAAGAATTAAGAACAGTCTTCTATAAACACAATACCATTATCACATCCAAGAAATTTAACCACTCATACAATTAAATGAACTACTACAGTCTATAATCAAATTTCCTTGATTATTCAGCCCTTTCCTTTGTGGTTGCTTTTTTTCCCCAGTCCAAGACCCAATCAAACACCACACATTGCACTTAATTGTGAGGTTTCCTCTAATCTAGAATTATCCCCTACCTTTTTCTCTTTTATGACATTGACACTTTTAAAATAATCCAAGTTAACAGCCTTGGATTTATATGCTGTTGAGGCTCTCACAAGCTGTATTTGTCTGGATGTTTGCCCATGGTTAGATTGAAGTTAAACGTTTTTGGTAGGAGTACCCCATAGGTCATGTTCTGTATTCCCCATGGTATCACACCAGGAGGAATATAATGTCAGTTTCAACCACAGATTTTTAACACATGGAACCTGTTTCTTCATTACATCTATGTGTTAGATCAGGGGTCCCTAACCCCCAGGCCACAGGCCAGTACTGGTCCATAGTCTGTTAGGAACGAGGCCACTCACAGCAGTGAGTGGCGGGGGAACTGTGGCATTAGATTCTCATAGGAGCGCGAACCCTATTGTGAACTGCACATGTGAGGGATCTAGGCTGTGTGCTCTTTATGAGAATCTAATGCCTAATGATCTGAGGTGGAACAGTTTCATCCTAAAACCATCCCTCCTACCACCACCTTCAACCCCCGTTCATGGAAAAATTGTCTTCCACAAAGCCAGTCCCTGTTGCCAAAACGGTTAGGGACTGCTGTGTTAGATGATTCTGACAGTGGTATCAATGTCTAGGTTTTTTTGCCAAATGTTTCTAACAAACTAGACTGAGAAAAGAATTTATATTCTCTCTACCTCTTTCTTAGATGTTACTGACATGACCTTCTTATTCTCCCAATATATACACAATGCATACCATAGTAATCAGTCTTTAATTGTCAGTCATATAGCTATGTTAACTCATGATGGCACGAGCCTTAACTGAAATAATTTGGTTGTAGACCATGCACTAATTCATGATTCCAATTGCACTATTAAGAAAAACTCAACAGCATATAAAGTTATTAAATCACTCAGTAGGTGACCATAGTTTTGCTGTCACACAAAAAAGTTAACAGTCTGCTTTTAGCTAAAGCCACTTATTCTTATTCCAAACACTGTTTTAGAATTCTTGGCTTCAGATAGTACCTAATGTATCTTCTAAGAAATGTGCAGTAAAGGATAATATACTTTTTCTTGAAGAAATCAAATAAGTACAATGATGAGCATATAGGAACTATCTTCCTATTCCTGAAGAATATTAACTAAAACAGGTATTTCCAAAACGACTCTGTGGTTGGAAAAAAAAATGTGGCTTTATGTTTACCTTATAGTTTAGTATATATATATTTATTATGTTAAATAGCATTTTTTTTTTTTTTTGAGACAGGGTCTTGCTCTGTGGCCCACACTAGAGTGCAACTGGATCATAATTCACTGCAGTCTCAAACTCTTGGGTTCCAGCAACCCTCCTGCCACAGCCTCCCAAGCAGCTGGGACTATAGGCGTGTGCCACCATGCCCAGCTAATTTTACGTTTTGTAGAGATGGGGTCTCACTATGTTGCCCACACTGATCTAGAAATCCTAGCCTCAAGCCATCCTCTCACCTTGGCCTTGTAAATATTTTTAAAACTACTAGTTATAAAAAATTTTAAGACCCTTAAAAAGAAGTTAGTAAAAAAGACATACCTGAGTAAAAATATTATGTGTTTGGCTTAAAATCCACCTAGCATCAGCATCAGGTGCTACTATTAATTTCAAGGTCCCAACATAAACGTCAGAACACAAAGTCCAGAAGTGCTGTTCCTGTAAACTGTAAACTCCTTGCAGCTGCTGCACCTGAAATATAAAGGAGAGATATTAACATCATAATCAAATTAAGTACTCCCTTCTACTTATTATGCAATATATCAGTAAACATGGATTCTATTCTCTAGTTTAAAAAAAGGAAAGGAGGATGTTTGAATAAATAAATAAATAAATACTCTTGAGTACTAATTATGTGCCAGGTACCATGACAAGTATTTGGGAAATATAAATAAACACATATCAAAATATGTAGGACACATCTGAGAGTGTGCCCCACAGGGAAATTTACAGTAACAATCACTTAATAAAGTCCAACACCTATTTATGACTTGTAAAAAAAACTATTAGAAGGACACTTCCTTAACTTAATACAGGCTAACTACCAAAAATGTACAGAAAATAAGGATGAAACATTAGATTTATTCCCTGAAGATCAGGAAGAAGGCAGATACCCAAATCACTGCTATTGTTCCGCATCTCTATATTGATCTGGAGGAGTGGAACTCAGATCAACAACCAGAAGTTAAAAGAAAAAAGTTCAATGTGAAAAGATCTTTATAACAATTACAGCAGTTTACAAATAAAGAGGGAAGCTTCTCTGGGAGTGTGTTAACTACCTATCTCCGGAAATGGTCAAGAAGCTGTAATACCAACTTGATGTCATAGAGGAGATTTTGCAACAGACAGAAGGCTGGGCCAAACGCACATTAAGATCTTTTTCAGTTCGGAGATTCTGAATTTTACATAATCTACTTGGGAAGTTAAGAAAATGTTGATCTTATATCTATCAAAACTATTTATTTTTTGTTAGAATTTGATGAATGTAGTCATTTTTTTTTCTATAAACTCCACGACAGTTGATGGGAAATTGAGATAATATCTACTGTGCCTTCTTTAAAAACCGCTTTTATTGGGGAAAAAGATCAAGGTATACTTTTTCTTCCTCTTTTTGGATTCTGACAACATAGCTGTTTTAGCCAGATATCCCTCCACATTTTTTCTACATGACATCCTCATGGATGAGGCCTAAGGTGAGTTCTACTGTTAATAAAATAACCTGATGGAAAAGATTTCTCCTACTTCCATATGTAGCAGTACAAGTACATGACTGCAGTTATCTTAAAACACAAACTAAAGAATAATTCCTGTAGAAACTGGCTTTAATTTTACCAATTAAAAAATGGGAGGAAACTGTAGTTACAGATGAAAAGGGCAGTGTGGTAGAGTAGAAAGAACATGACCTTTAGAGTCAGAGTGACGTGGATTAGAATCCTGATTCAGCCACTAGCATTTGGACCTAAGGTGAGCCTCAATTTTATCTAGGGAAAGGAAGATGACACTCACCTTGTAGTTTATTGTGAAGAAGAGAAACTATATATATATATATATATATATATATATAGTTATATATATATAAAAAACAATTATATATAGTTATTTATATATAACAATTATATATAGTTATATATATAACAATTATATATATATATAGTTTTATATATATATATATGTAAAACAGTAACAATTATGCTGATTGATGCTACCTTAAAATAATAACCACAAATCTTGAATGGGCAATATGTACTTTCCCTGTATCAAAAGATTATTTTATACCTTCTCCTTTTTCCTCTAGCCTTCTGATCTCTCTGCATGATTACACTGCCTGGTACATTATAGAGAAAACAGAAGTACAAAGAAAATCCCTTATCCTTTACCATTAGATCTACCAATGACTCCTTATCTATGTCAGCATTTCTGCATTCCCTCAGAGGATATAGTACCCCTGTTACTATCAACAATTAATCCTTCCATTGTGCTTTGGGTTCTATCCTTTCTCAACTTCCCATGACTTTATTCCTTTAATAATGTCCTTTAGTACTATAACAATTTCTTCCTCTCAGTTAGACTGTTACCATTAGTTAATGCACATGTTCTAGAACTGTGCTGTGCAATTCAAAAGTCACTAGACACATGTAACTATTTCAATGAATGGAAATTAAGTTAAAAAGAATCAGTTACACTAGCCATATGTGGTTTGTGGCTTCCATATTGGACAGTGCAGATTATAGAACCTTTCCATTATTGGGGAAAGTTCTGCGGGACAATGCTGTTCTAAAACATCCTACTTTAAAAACAAAAAAATACCTCTATCCTTATACTACATCCATATCCGCTATCAACTCATTTCTCTGCTCCCTTTAACAACACTTCGTAAAGGAGTTGTCACTTCCCCATTCATTTTCTCCTTAATTCATTCAAATCATGCTCCCTTCTCCAACACTCCAATGAAACTGCTCTTAAAGGTCATTAATGGCATCCAGAAGGCCAGTCAATGATCACTTCTGGTTTTTTTTTTTTTTTTTTTTTTTGAGACGGAGTCTCGCTCCATTGCCCAGGCTGGAGTGCAGTGGCACAATCTCGGCCCACTGAAAGCTCCGCCTCCTGGGTTGAGGTCATTCTCCTGCCTCAGCCTCCCGAGTAGCTGGGACTCCAGGTGCCTACCACCATGCCTGGCTAATTTTTTGTATTTCATTTTTTTTTTTTTTTTAGTAGAGACGAGGTTTCACCGTGTTAGCCAGGATGGTCTCAATCTCCTGACCTCATGATCTGCCCACCTTGGCCTCCCAAAGTGCTGGGATTACAGGCGTGAGCCACCACGCCCGGCCTGATCACTTCTTGTTTCTACCCTCCTCGACCCCACAGAAATATTCAACACAGTTAATTACTTCCTCCTTCTTCAACTCTGTGATCCTACACTCTTTTGGTTTTCCAGCACCCCACTAACCACTACCTTTCCTGGCTTTCTCACCTGTGCTCCAAATTTAGAGTTGAAAGCAGAGCTAAAAGAGTAGAACTAGAACTTCTCTGGAGGTAATCACATACAATCTTGATGTTTTAGAAGTTATTCATATATTGATGACTTATAACTCTTTCTGGTCCTAATCTGTCCCCAAAACTCAAGATTTTCATATCCAACCACTTAAGTAACATTTCTCCTAGAAGTGTAGTAGCCATTTCCATTTTAACATATCCAGAATATAACTCTTCATTTGGGAGATTTTCCATCCTCAAACCTGTACCAAGGCCTCAGTCTCAGTAAGTGGCATTACCATCTAGTAAGTGGCATTACCATCTACCAAGTAATAAACCAACACTTTCTCTACCCTCTGCTAATATAATCCACTTCCAAAAACATATCCCAAATGTATATTTATCTTCACTGCTACAACTGTAATCTAAACCACTATTGTTTTTCACTTAGAGGACAATAACTTCATAACTGGTTTTCTTTGCTTTCATCCTCCCTAGAATATGTTCTCTTCATAGAAAACACAATCTCTTGAAAACATAGGATTTATGACACTTCTATTGCCTAAAAGCTTTCCAATGCTTCCCACTGAGTTAGAATTAAATCTAAATCTCTTATTATGACCCAAAACCCTAAATGATCTTGCTCCTGCCATTCTCTCCAGGCTTTCAAGCCATTCTTCCCTTTATTTAATATACTTCAGCCACAATGGCCTTTTTTATTCTGTTCTTCAAACACAAATTAAATCCAGCCATAGCACTTTTACATTAGCAATCTCCCTTGCCTGGCACATTCTTCTCCAGTATTTTCATATGGCTAGCTCTTTCTTGTCATTAAGGTTTCAATTTCCTTGCATATAACTCCCTTAGTGAATCTAAGGTAGCCATCCATGACTAACACATCACTTTGTTTTATTTCTACTATAGTAATTCTCATTGATATTTTCTTATTTATCTACTTATTGTTTATTTCCTATATTTCCCCACTGGACTGTAAGTTCCATGAAACAGAGGCACTGTCTGTCTTGTTTACCATTACCTCCCCAGTATTTTAGAAGAATATCTGGTAGAATGGGAGCTCAAAAACTCTGTGTTGAATAAATGCTATGTCTCTGCTATAGATATTCTATATTTTAAAAAACTGCTCAATTTCTAGATCAGAACAATTTCTACTACATTTTCTTTAGTAAAGTTCAACATTTTCCTACAATTTTATTCTGGCTTGTATAAATGACATTTCATGGTCAGCATTCAATCTTGGAAGAAATATTCAATTATACACACATGTTACCCATATTTGTGAAAGCTGAAAATCAAGAGATTGAAAACAGCATAAAACCCAATGGTTTGGAATATTTGAAACTCACCCTCTGATAGCACTGAGGCAGAGTATTTTCTAATAGGGGAGGAGTTCTCTGCATCAATATTCCAACAGATTCTCTTAAAAGAGGAATAACACTAAGGAAAAGGAAAAAAACAATTTGTTAAAGTCACATTCTGACAATCCCATCCAGCAAGAAAGTAATAATATCCCTTCCTATGGTAGAATATAATAGGACTTAGAATAATATGAGAAAAAACAATCAACCATTGTTTTAGATTTTCCATGTGATCAGTAAATTATCCAAAGTAAAAGTAAAAGACCTAGAGAAAATGTATTAATGTATGAAAAAGTAAAGCTATAAAACTGAAATAATATAATATCATCTAAACCCAGCACATGTTCAACTGTTAGTTAAAATATGACTCCACATGGTCAGAACCTTCCAAAGTAATCATAGCCTACCATGCTAACTGGTCCTTAATATTTATCAAATATTTACATGCACTTATCTGAATAGCACTGATAAGGAAAATACAAAAAAAAGAATACATCAGTCTATTTGTTCAATATCAGTCATATTTCATTATTTAAAAAATACAGAAGCCTGGCGATAACCACAGATGCAGTGAAATGAACTCAGCTCCTCTAGGGATGGTGCCCAAAAGTCTGCATGTGTTGCTGTAACTAGTCTTCAATTAGTATTTGAAACTACTGTTTTAGGCTATTTGGATGATTAAATGTACACAAAACAGGCTGGGCACGGTGGCTCACGCCTGTAATCCCAGCACTTTGGGAAGCCAAGGCGGGCAGCTCACGAGGTCAGGAGATTGAGACCATCCTGGCTAACACCGTGAAACCCCATCTCTACTAAAAATACAAAAAAAAAAAAAAAAAAAAAATTAGCTGGGCGTGGTGGTGGGCACCTGTAGTCCCAGCTACTGGGGAGGCTGAGGCAGGAGAATGGCGTGAACCCGGGAGGCGGAGCTTGCAGTGAGCCTAGATTGTGCCACTGCACTCTAGCCTGGGAGGCAGAGTGAGACTCCATCTCAAAAAAAAAAAAAAAAAAAGGTACATAAACAATTAATAGTAGAATGGTGACGGTTACTCGAATGTAATGGCTTTCCAGTCTAGCAATATCCAATTCACCTTAGAGTCTCATTTTGTTTTCACTTCTGATATATTAAATCAGAATCTTTGAGGGAATGTCCAAAAAGCTCTCCATGTGATTCCAATTATTCAGAGTGGCAATGCACTGTTCTACTGCTTGAAGTAGGTTGAGAGAGGAGGTCAGAAATGGCTTCCCTACACTTAATAGCTTAAGTCAGTGCTCACTTTTAAACTTAGAGAATTTCAAAATTTTCAAGTAAAACTTCTGATAATAGCTGTAGCTGAAGAAGATAAAAAGAACATCCATCTTTCAAGGAAGGTTTCATAAGAAGAGTAGAAGCAAGTGTACTTTCAGGACTAGTGGTATTTTGACAGATGGAAAGGAAAGAGAGGTACCAAGAAAGACCCAAAAGAAAAGACACAGTGCTTATCTGGCTCACTATTATATTCCCAAGATCTAGCAAAGTGCTGGTCATAAAGTGGGCCCAATTGTTGGTTAAATGAGTGACAGAAATACAGATAATCAAATCAAGAAAAATTAGATGTCACCCTTAATTCCTTCTTCTCCCTTAAATCACCAAGTTCTCATGATTTAATATCCTAAAGGTTTCTTGACTCAATTCCTTCCCCTTCATTGTACTATGCATGTCCACAATAATCTCCATATCTTCCACGTGGATTATTATGATAGCTTCCTAAGTGGTCGCTTCAGCTCTAGTCTTATTTCCTCAAGTCCACGTAACAAGCAGCTTCAATGATGGCTCCCAATGACCCTGCCCTATGTAGTATTCATGCCCTATGTAAAGTTTCAGGACTTAGTGACTTGCTGCTAATGAACAGAGTATGGCAAAGTGATGAGACGTCACTGCCAAGATTAAGTAAAAAGACTCTGGCTTCTGTTTTGTATACCCTCCTTGTTTGCTTTCACTTGCTCTCCCACAGCTGCTATGTTGTGAGCTGTGCTATAGCGAGGACCATGTGGCAAGAAACTGAAGGATATTTCTTGAGAGCTACTAGACAGACCCTCAGTTCAACAGCCCAAAAGGAACATAATGCTGTCAGTAACCACTTGAGTGAGCTCAGAAGTAGACTCTCCCCCAGATGAACCTTGGAGTAACTGTAGCCCCAGCTGCTACCTTGATTACTACCTTGTGAGAGACCCTGAGCCAGGCAACACAGTTAGCTATACCCAGGTTCCTGAAAGACAGAAAGTATAAGATAATAATGTGTATTATTTTAGCTACTAGGTTTTCGAGTGCTTTACGTATCCACAGATAACTGATACAACCAGATTTTATAGAGACGTTAGACTAATAGACATAAAATAGGTATGTGACCCTATCCCTTTCCCACTAAGAAATGTGTCAAAAGCTCCCCACTGCCTAGGGAATAAGTGCTGGCTCTTTAACATGGTATATTTTTGGATCTGGCCCTCTACCTTCACCTCCTATTAATCCTTGCTTCATATTTTAAGCTCTCCAAATAAAACATACTTGTACTTTACCTTATACTGTTTCTTACTTTCATGGTTTTGCTCAAACTGTAACCTCTGCTTAGAATGTCCCTAAGCTGCCCTACAGTCTTACATTCACTCTTTGAAATCTCACATGTCACCTCTTTTAGGGTATATTTCCTGATCGCAAACTGCCTTCTACACTGCATGAAGTGTCTTCTCTGTGCTCCTATGAAAACAATCTGTGCTACCTACACTATTACTACATTGCATGATAATTACCAGCTTGTGTTTCCCCCTCCCTCTAAACAGAAAGTTGCTTTAAGGTAGGAATTATCTTATTTATGTTTGTAAACCCAGCATCTCAGACAGTGTTTGGCAAATAAATGTTTATGGAACAGAATTCATAGCTGAATCTATTAAACATAATTAATTCATAAATTTAAAAAGTATATCTAAGGCTCGGGATCAATACTAAATCTTAAATAATATATGGAATCATTAGCAGTTAAGAAAAGGCACTAGGTAAAGAAAGTAAAGGCACGGTAAGTAAAACATCTAGAAAAAGGGGAAACATATTTCCAGTAATAGTAAATGCCTCAATGAAGAAAAACAGAAACAGAAAAAGGCCATCAGATTAAACAATGCAAATATTGTTTGAGTCCATCCACTGTAACATTTCAGGAAGAGTAAAAGCCAGGTTGGAGAAAGAGAAAAAAAATGAGTAGAAAACAACTGCAAATGGACTTAAGGATTTTGACAGTGAAGAATATCGGTTATTCATTCATCTAAACTGAAGAGTGGTATCGGTTTCTACCTACTGTGTTGCTATTAAATAGGTGACGACTTCCTGTGTTTACAAAAAAGGCAAAGAAAAAAATGACGGCATATTAATTAGGTACAATTCAACCATCATTTTTCTTTACTCTCTCCATCCTCATTTCTCAGGAAAAAGAAAGAATCCATCACAGAATGTTTTTATATATTAAACTTAAAATTTTTATCTTTCCCTAACTGTACTCAGAAAATGAGGCACAAAAATGGTTCTCCTTGAATTACTGTTTGAGAATAAGAAAAAAAGTTTTTTTCTTACCTACATCCTAAGTTTAGTTATTTTAATAATTTCTTCTCCAATCTTAATCTAGGGAACTACTAACAATGTTTAGATATCTGACATGAAAATTACTCTCAAATGGAAACCATGACACTTGGGTTCTGATTCTGCCATTAAATAGCTTTAAGCAAATCACATATTCTTCCAGAGCATCAGTTTTCTCATCTATAAAATGAAGGAGTAGGCTAAACATCCAGGCAATTTCTTTTATCTTTTATATATTTTCCATTCAATAAGAAAAAGTGGTTAAACTATAAAGAATACTAGAGAGAGAATATATTTGGAAATGAAAGAAAATATAAATTGTTTTTATATACTAAGGGGAAAAAAGTAGTGTCACCAAATGACACATAGATATACTTGGCAAAATGATTTATTCTATCATGATAGATAATCCAGCAAATGAATTTTATTAAGCAATCAATATTAAGCAATTATTAAGGATCTACTACTATGTATCTGGCATCAGATTTTCTAGAACCAGATGGGACTTTACTCTAGAGTTGTGGAAATGGTGGCCTAGAACACCAAAGTAACTTGTTTAAGGTGTGAAATGTTTGTTTAAAGACACAGCTAATGAGCAGGAGAACTAGAACAGATCAGGTCGTTAGACTCCAAGTTCAGTTTTGAAAAGTTCAAGTCAACAAACATCTGTTATATGCCAACCATGGAGCAAGCATGTGCTAGACACTGGAAATACAAAAATAAATAATATAGAATATTTTGGTTCAGAGAAATTCATAATTTTATTTTTAATAAGCCTGCAGAGAAGGCAATGGAAATCAGGTATCAAACTTATTTAGGGTACACCATTTAGAAGAAGGCACATACGAATTTAAAGCAACTACATATTATGCTTGTATCCATTTTCACTTTCCATGAACTTTTGGTGAATGGTTTTCTTAATTGGTATGTTGATAACTTCTTTTTAAACATACCTTTAAAAGTAAAGAGGAAGAGAAAAAGGAATAGAAGAGGCATTGACTCAACTGCAACAGAAGGCATACAGTATGAGAAATAACATTACTTAAGCAACAGGGGTGAAATAACTTGTGCGAACAAGTTTTAAAAATTTATTGTTTCAGAATACTCAGGTTTAGTCTAGTTGTTTCCCCCAAGGAGCTAAAACACAGTAAGAGATGGTGAATCCCATCTATAATAATCCTTGAGATCAGCCTTAAAACATTAAAGAGATTCTCTTAGACAGTCCAACAGTCTCTTAATAAGTCACCTAGAAAAAACATCTACAGATTTATCCAAATCTTTGTTCAAATTTTTATGTGTGTATTCCATGCGTGTTGCCTTCCAAAGTCTGCTACTCCTTGCTACCACCTTTTTAAAAAAGAACCTAGTACTTCTTTTTTTTCCTCCTAAAATTCACTTTCACATGAGGCCCTTAGTTTAAGGACTCTAGAATTAGTAAAGAAGTTACATGATCACAGATAATATCATATTAGAAT